AAAGAAAGAAAGAAAGAAAGAAAGAAAGAAAGAGGGAGGGAGGGAGGGAGGGAGGGAGGACAATATGACTTTTTAAACATTTGCCAAAGCAAAGACATGTAAGAAGATGGGATTTCAAAAGAGGAACGCACACTCCACATATCGTCACAGAGGCCTGCTTAGCCCCAACCATCAAATATGCCATTTTAATGCAATTCTCTGTAATATACATGCCAGTCTGTATGTGACTTTCTCTCACATACTCCATTTTGTACAACACTTGTTTTGCTGAGAATGCCAGGGGCTACCCGGCTCCATGTAACGCTGTCCCCCGAAACTGCAAGAGAGCCCATATTGGCAGATTCACACCATTTTACTGTACAAGAAAACTCTTGTAAGCCCCTAATAAGGAAGACATTAAAATGGTCTACAGATTCCACATCCAATGTCCTTTTCTCCCTCCTTCTTCCCTCCCCTACAATGAACCCCTCTGGTAGATAGTTAATAATGATAAAGGCAACATAAAGGGAAAAATGGCTGCAGTTGAAGGGAAAAACCATTTATGAAATTTGCTATCACCAAGAATCTGAAGGGTAGATGGAATATGGCCTCTCTTTTGCTAATGACATTTTGAGAGATGCAGGAACCATCAAAGGTCACTTATGGAGTGATGGGAGAAGGTATTATTAGATGTCATTAAACAGGAAAGAGAAATCTCTCAAACAGAATAAGCCTTCCTTTGCTCTGATCTGGAGAAGCACTGTAGGAGCTCTCCCCAAAGAGAATAGAAGAATGCTCTGTGGGCAAATCTGGTGAGTGTGTGTTTGTTGTATATTTGTCTCTACAAGCCCAGGGAGAGACAAGAAGCCCTGCAGAGCATAATCTCCCACTCCTCTGAGCCCCAAATGGTTTACTCAGACCTTACCCAAGCTGGCAGCCTCCTCCTAATGCATGGAATTCAATTCCCAGAATTCTCATCAATGGCCATATGGGCTGGGAGAATTCTGGGACTTTCTGCATTTGCAGAGATGACCAACCGGGGCAGAAATGGGTTCCGTTGACTCTGTCTCTTTGGCAGTGGATTTTCCTGTCACTTTTAGCTGGAGACACCCAAACTAAACCTGGGTCCCTATGCACGCATGCCACTACTCTTCCACTGAACTATGCCGCCTCAGTGAATGCGCTCCACACAGATACCTCCTGTGCGGGTACGGATTTCAAGAGGAATTATTCCAATTCTGACCTGTCTATTCTGTCCGGCTCCACCGTTCCAGATGCTGCTTTTTTATTGCATTTATTCACCTTAAGGGATTCTTAGGGAAGCTGTGTATGGAGGGGGTGGGGAGATATGTATTAATCCTATTACTGAGGACTGTGGAAAGCAGAGTAATGGGTAACTAGAATCATTCTTGTTGAGGATGTACATGGAGGTAAAGGCAAGTAAGATTGTGGGAGGATCAGAAAGCATATCCTCTATCCAAGAGGAGACATATTCCCCTTTGCTTGGGAGAATGGTTTAGAAACCTGGATAAAGTTGCTGGGATTTCCAGATTATTCCCCCTCCCTGTAGCTTTAGCCCTTTTCCATGGCCCGCCCCGTCGACTGTTTGCCGTACAAATGCCAAAGTTCAAATGCACCAAAAGCCTTCCTCAAATCCAAGAAGAGAAAAATTGGTTTCAGAGAGAACGACGAAGCAACAATTCAAGAAGCACGATTCCCAACCTGATGTCTTAAAATTAACCCAGAAAGACAAATCTAACACCTTATTGAGACAGTGAACAGAGGTGTTGGGATACAAAACCCCTAGAGAGTCTGTGCGTTGAGGAAAATAAGTTTTTCGCCCAAGGAGCATTCAGATCTTCGTAACTTTGTGCTCAACAGCTGCAGGTACAAAAAACGATCTGCCCAAGATGACGAGGCAAAGCCTGGGAAATCTTACCTGGTGGAGGTGGTGTGACGTTCAGAGGAGTTTCATTCGCCCTGGATTTCCATCCTTCAATGGCCATTCCTGATCTAGAAGAGACAAAGAAAGGATATTTTAAGTGAGGGACTAAGATCAATCAGTTGCATTGCTTTTAAGGTGTTACTGCTTGGAAAATCAGTACAGAAAGACCACTGTCATACATAACCCTAGGCTTCCAAGAACGCAAAGCATTTCAAGACGTTTATTTCTCTGCCAAATGAATCTGCATTGCACCTGATTGAATTCATGGCAGCTCATTTGAGGTGACTGAATGAGTTCACGGATGACGCTAGATTCAAATGGGGATTTCCTGACTTCTCCCTCAGTCTAGAATAAAATAAGACAGCAATTTCCAGAAGATGTAGGGAACATCGATCCTGCAGGCTAATTTGGCCCAGGAAACCTCTCCACCTGGCCCTCTTCCCCGTGTTCCACCTGGGTGGGTGGGATTCCTCCATGTCTTTCCATATTCAGAGAAAGGGAGAATCATAATGGTTTGGCAATCAAGGAAGAAATCTAGTCCTTTTCTCCACAGACATATTCTTGAGGGGAAGGAATAGACTTCAAGGGTGGGGCCCAGTCCATGACATCATCCAACCTCCAGGAGGTATCCTGGAAAGCAGTCTGGACTTGCGGCTAATGAGAGCTCCCTCCTTTGATTAAAGGAACCCCTGACACCGCAGACAAAAGGCCAATGGGTAAATACAAAACAAATAATTGATAAAAATAGCAGAATCAACCAGACACGGCATTCCAATGTAACAGTAACCTCTGCAAGAAGGGAAGCTGGATCTCACAGAGAGCGCACCCCATTGGTGTGGATTTGCTTCTAACAATCTGTGCACTCTATGTGGAGATACTGGTATATAAAGCTCCACAGGTCTACTTTGAAGTAATCCCATTAAGGTCAATGGAAATTATCTCCAGGTAATGGTTATAAGGTGACAGTCTTGCTTACTGGACAGTAAATGCGATGACCCCATTGGGACTTCTTTTTAAATAGCCATGTCCATGACGGAGCTGTGTGTTTTGCTTGCTCGCTTGCTTGTTGGGAGGAAATACTGAATATTTATTCTGCTTTTCTTTGCACAACCCTTTGCCCGATTTTTAAAAAGGTGGAGAGGGTAACCAGGAGGTGAGGAACAGGCTCTGGTTGTCTCCCAGGGGACAAATAAAAGAATCAGAAATCATGCCTAGAAGAGGAACAAAGATAAATAATTTAGCGCTAAGAATAACCAAAGCTTCATAGCTTGCCAGCATTAGAAGAAATAAAGTTATACGAAACTGCTTTTTTTTTTTTTTTTAAACAGAACCTTTGGGGGGCTAAAAATAATAAATACAAAACAAAAAGAGAGTTCAAAAGTAATGTGAATTAGTGGAGTATAAAGGGAAGGATTAGAAGATGAAATCCTTAGGATGGTTGAATTCCATTAGCTAAAAACCAAGGCGCTCCAAGTTGCTTGGTACTGCATCTATTTATCTATCTCACAGCGATATGAGTTTTTCTATTTTTAATCTTCACCACAATCCTGTGAAAGAGACTCACTGAAAGACCGAGACTGGTTCAGACACACTCACTGAGATAATAGAAGAGTCGTAACTGTTGGCCTCATTGTTTCTTGTCTATTTATAAAGGAGATAAAACTGAATCTCAGATTGTAGTGGCTTTAGAACTCCCCCCCCCAGCAGTGACTGAGGGCCCATATTCTGGTACTTGCATCAAACGATAATGAGGCTTTCAAATGTTATTTATGAAAAGCCAAAGAATGAGGAGAAGAATTAAGCAAAGCATCTGCTTCTTTTCCTAAGAGTTTAAGTAGTAACCCCCCTTTTTTTGCAACACTGCTGACGTATTTCATTAAAAGTCCCAAGTCTCTCCACTTCGGGAACATAAACAAATGATTTCAGTGGTGCTTACTGGAGGCACTGGCAGACACACTCTTATAAATGGAACGGGGACATTTTATTAGTATCTAGCTTGATTGTTTTGCTTGCTTTTGAATTTTCGGAGATGCCGAAAATTATGATGGCGTGTTTACCAAGAAAGTTAACCTCTTCCTCTATTTTCAATACTCCCCAGGTTCAATGGATGATCTCACGTCGGTGTAGGTTGAGAGAGGGGGAAAGAGAAAAGAAATTCAAAAAATTATTTTCAGAAATTTGGAAAATGTTGACCTCTGGAAACCTTTCTTTGCTTAAGCGCAAAGCTTTCCTTCTGAGTTACAGCAAGGACACAGACGAACATAAATGGTTATTTGTATGGCTGGTCTAGAAACCCTAAAGCTTTATTTAGACTGTTCAAAAGAATGTCTAACTTTTAAGATGGACTTAACCACCTGCCATGAACGAGCATTGTCTAATATCAAAACAACTTAATTGGGCCCCTTTTAGATATTTAACTGCTTTCGCAATGTTTGTCCAGCAACTGCTTCTAAATCTCCAAATAATACTGCCTTAACTCATCTGAGTAAATCCCCAATTCCCTTATGAAAACATACAAAATATCTGCCTTCCACTTTTAACTCTTCCTCCTGGGCAAATTCTTTCTCCCCGGGAGCACGTGTCCCCCACCCTCCCTCTCTTGGATTTAAATTCCACCATGACCTCTCTTCGTCACCCGCCATTTTGTTCCAGCCACTGTGGGTTTTGAGGTCCCTCTCTGAGACCTGCACAGAACCAAATGAAGCCGCAGAAGATGGTTTTCAAGCTCTCCATACAAACACTCTTGAAGTCAAGAGGTTTAAAAAAAAAATGCATGGCTCTGCCTGGGCCATTTTGAAGGAAGAATGTCATCTCGGTCAGGAGTTTGGGTGTTTCCTTAGAATATGGACCACTGGAACCTTCTCTTCTCTGAATTTCAAACAGGATAGTGATGACCTCTGTCCAAGTTTTAACAACGTATGGTAGGTTGCCATCACCCCATGTGCTGTACAACTGTACTGATGTGCATGGAAAATAATGTCCACACTTACCTTCTGAGCCACTCACAATATATTCAACTGCCATTCCACCATAATTTAAATGCTAATATCTGGGAAAGTCTCGATGCTGAGCTTTTTTCAAGATACTACTGTAGGTCATTAAGGTTGGAAACAGTTTGGGACCAGGAAATTTCTTCTTCCTCTGTAGGCCTACTCAAATGTTCATGTTCTGGAGATGATGTCCTGCTGACCAGATCACAGTGGTGGCCCATATTCAAAAGTGGCCTTCTCTCTGGTAGCAGACCATGTGTGGAGCATCCATCCCTGGGAATTTAGCTGGATCTCCAAGGTGGAGTGTTTCTACTGTAAATTATTTAAATTAATGTAAGCAATTGTATCCTTTAGCTCAGCCATTTATTCACTGTTAGTTGGCTTGTTTGGATCAGCCTTCCTATTTATTAGAAAGTAAAACTCTATGGGCAATTGTTTTGATATTTGTCAATGGAAAGTGAGAGGGAAATGACATAAATAAATAATGTATGGAAGTAGAGGTCTTATATCCAATAAATATTAATATTTGGAACAAGCATTCTTTTAACTATAGGACTTCCCAAGACTGCACTATTTATTAGTTGCTGTTGAATGTATCCAACTTTGGGAACACAGAGGCTGAATTATAACTGGACTTTAACTGGATAACTTGTTTAGCGCTCAGCGAGTGTTCAAATCAGACAATATACAGGGTTCTGTTGGATCTGTTGGAAGTTACTTGATAAGTTTTTATGGGATAGGTCAGAATGTAAAAACACCAAGAAACAAAAAGGAAGCTGGATGAGTACTACAGGAAATGGTTTTGATCTTGGTAAATCCCACCAACTCATTCTGCTGCATTATAATTCAGTAACTTTTGAAGCCTATTACATAGTCACATGGACTGAGATGGGTGGCTATAGAAATTGCATAAATAAAACAAAACAAAATTCTGCAATCCAGGAATCAGTTAGGCCTATAGGATAAATTCTGCCTCTCCCGTGATGTAATGTTGCATTTTCCCTTTCCTGAGATTAACTTTTCTTCCAAGGCAGGCTTATTCTTTCCATTACCCTGGATAGCATTCAGAAAGGAGTGGTCCCTTCCGGGCGGAGATGACAGCAATGGGAATATTAGCTGCCTGAATCATACTTACATGCAGGATTAATACAGGGCTTCATTACGCTATACCACTCATTCTTCAACTCCCTTAAAAAGAACTTTTAAAGAAACTAAATTGCTTTCCTTTCAGAGAGTTATCCAAGTACAGTACTTATTTTATATGCAAAGCCAACTTTTCCTTTTAGTGAAACCATTCCAGATTCAAATCCAGAGGCATTTTACAGAAAAATACTAAGGTTTGGGGCATTATAAAGCCCCCAGTTAAATGGTCAGGCTAGCAGAGGCCACGGGTGTCATACAAGTTTACTCAGGAGTAAAACTTCCTGGTTGAGTTCATCCAACACCCATAGCCTTAAACCCAAGTTATTGAACCACAAGATATAACCATACGAAATATATTATGCTTCACACCATAGTCCAGTTTAGTTGACATGCAAAATGCATGGTTAGGTTCCTGCAATCCACTGAACTACAAACTAACCGTTATTTTAGCCTAATCCACATGTTGTGCGAAGCCACCCCTTAAATTCAAAAGGGTTCACCTTAAGGAAGAGCACAGAGGACTGGCCTTAATTGCTACTTCCTTTGGATTGGCAAAAATATCTCATCTAAAAATTCATGCACCTGGAACCGATCGACTGTCAGACACTGCATTTCTATGTGGCCCAGAAGTAAATCTCACTGAATTTATTTGCGTTAAACTGAAATCCTATATTAACCTGGAAGGAGTCACGCCAGGCTGGCTTTTTGTGTAGCAGGCATGCCCCAGACCCATCCTCCTTCCCTGGTGCGCTGCCAGAATTTCCAGCTAGCAGCCTCACAACACCTTTGGAAGATAGATGGTGCAGAGCTAATGGGGAATATTTGCTGCCATTGGATGGGGCAAATTCAGATGGGGGTATTTCTGGAGGATCAGGCTATCCAGTGGCTACTAGTTTTGATGGGTGTTTGCAACCCCCTGAATCCAATGCCACAAT